GGGTCCAGACTTCAGCCTGCCCCAGCAGTGGGACCTTGTCAGCAAGTTTCTTCTCTCAGCCCACTCCTTTCCTTTCAGGTGTCTCCAGGTGTCATTGCCAACCCATTTGCAACAGGCCTTGGCCACCGGAACAGCCTGGAAAGCATTTCATCCATTGACCGGGAACTGAGTCCTGAAGGCCCAGGCAAGGTCAGCATCAAAGTGGCTGTTTGAGCATTGGTATTCAAGAGCCCTGGGACTGGCTCTGAGCTCCTAGTTCTTGACCATGTCTGCTCTGCTTACAGGAGAAAGAGCTGACCAGTCAAGCTCCACCCTGGGAGCCTGAGTCTACAGAGACTCTGGTAAGTCCCACACAGACCCTGCTCTGAGCCTGGGTAGCCTCCCCTGACAGGAATTGCAGTGGTGAACACAGCCCAGGAGTGGTGGGCAGTCACATTCCTGGAACATAGATTCCCTCTCAGCACTGACCCACTCTGTTCTCCAGGGTCGGAATCTGGAGCCCCTGAAGCTGGACTACCGTGTCTTGGCTGCTGTGCCCAGTGCTGGGAGTTTGCAAAGAGTGAGTGGTGTATGCTGGATCTTACTCCATCTGGCCCGTCAGTCCTACTGATCTTAACTGCCTTCTTCCCTGTGGCAGCCACTGCTGCCAGCTTGAGTGCCAAGGTCACCACGCAGAGAACTTTTGCCTTAGATCAGGCAGGGCCTACAGATGTCTGAGCTGGAGCCCTGCCTCTAGCGAGGCGACATTTGGGATTTGTTGTGGTTCTTGTTTGGCAGTACTGGGGATACAGGATGGAGCCTCATGAATGCTATCACCGAGCATCCTGCCACTGACCTGCATGCCCAGCCCTTGTGTAAAGCTTTGGCCTTATTTGTGGCTGTCGCTATAATCCCCTGTCCTAGGTGCCAAGGGGTGCCTTTGAAGTCCCTGACCTCTTCCTTCCCCATTGTCTACCCCTAGATAGCTGGATAGGGCAGAGCCCTGATGCTGCAGGCAGGCTGCTGGGAAGAGACAGCTGCCATTCCTCAAGCATCTTGGTGGGGTCTCCTGGCGGGGGTGGGCTGAAGCAGCTGCAGCCCATGGAAGGAGGCCTTGTGGGTGTGGAAGTTGTGGCACTAACAGCTGGTCTGGGAGTGGCCACTCAGGGCCTAAGCTAGAGGTGTGGCCTTTGAAACAGTTGTGAGCCTGGGGGCAGGCAGAAAGGACATTCTGTCCTCGTTGTTCTCCAAGAGGTATTTAAAACTATCACTTCCAGAGGATAATGGGAGACCATTGCCTGAATGTAAGTGCCTAAGAGGTGGGCTTGGAGGGGATGTTGCTGAGCAGGGGGAGACAGGGAGAGGTCAAGAAGGGCATTTGGATTTTTGGGTACCATCTCTTCCCACTCCAAACAGCCCTGACAGAGAAGCCAGCATCATCTGAGAAAGGGACAGCTAGGCTAGGATGCTTCTCTGACGTGCATGACTAGGATGCTTCTCTGACGTGCATGACTGGGAAGAACCTGGGTCAGAGACTGGTGGTGGGTAGGCTGTTGTGTCCCAACTGTCTGGCTTCAATCTGTTGTCTATTTCCAACTTTCTTTGTAGATCTTAGGGCTGTGCCCGTGACACCTGACTGCCTCTCCAACCTAGGCCCTGGGGAGAGCAGAGGCTGAGGGCAAGGACCACCTGTGTCCAGCCTTGGGGAAAGAAAGCCCTTTGTGGAGGTCTCACGGTCATCCACACCTGTCTGATGGCACCCCTGGGTTGTGGTCAGGTTGGGGTATAGGGCTGTCCCTATGCTGCCAGGGTAAATGTGTAGACCATTTCCTGGCTGAGATTCTGCTAGGCCAGCTGACCCTCCTTCCCAACCACCACCTTCTTCCTCAAGGGACCATCTGGGACCACTGGAGGGAAGATGACTGAGGCCCCTTGTTCCCCTGGCAGCCAGCAAGTAAGCATCCCAATCACAGGTACCCCCCTGTGGGCACCTGTGCAGATGGGTACTGGTATGCAGGATCCCCTTGGGGTATTGCTTCAGATGTGTTTTTGTCCAGGGACACCTTCCTGATTAAATGGCCCTGGTGAAGGCAGAGACCTTGCTGGAGGAGTTCAAGCCTCATAAAAACCAAGCATAAGATTTTTTCTGGATAGTTGTCCTTCTTGTCTGTGGGTCCCTCATCCCCACCTTCCCCCCTGCATGGACAGGCTTTTCAGCATCCCTGATAATGCATTGCAGAGTGGGGGTGGGCACAGGGCCATTCCCAGTCTAGCTCCTAGCCTCAACCCTTCCAAGACAGGTGTTTGGATTAGTGTCCCCTTGTCTCCATCTCTCTCTCTCTCTCTCTCTCTCTCTCTCCCTCCCTCCCTCCCTCCCTCCCTCCCTCTCCCTCTCCCTCTCCCTCTCCCTCTCCCTCTCCCCCCTCCACTCCTGGACCTCTGACCCTGCTCTCCTCTGCCACCACCCCCTTCCCCTTTGCAGACAAAACCGGGGGTCATCCAGCCATTGGCTCAGGCCTGGCCAAGGGGCTCCCCGGCGCCCAGGGGCAGAGATGGTCCCTGCTCTGTGAGTGAGGGTGATGAGCAGGATGGCGGGTATGGGCCAGGCAGGTGGAGGACACAGCTGGTGGCTCTTTGGGAAGTGGCCGCACTGGGACAGCTGCCCCCGCCTCACGTGTGGGCGTTTCCCCAGCTGCCCTCCCCCGATGAACTGCCAGCCAATGTGAAGCAGGCCTATAGGGCCTTCGCCGCAGTGCCCCCCGTGCACCCTCCCGAGGACAGTGCTGCCCAGGTATGTGCAGAGGTGCCCTGCTGCTGCTGCATGCTCTGTAGGGTGGGTGCTGGAGGTGCCCCCAGAGAAACACCAGCCAAGTCTGAGGGCCTGCTCCCCCTCTAGCCTCCAACACCTGGTCCCGCAGCCTCCCCAGAGCAACTGTCCTTCCGGGAACGGCAAAAGTACTTTGAACTGGAGGTCCGGGTGCCTCAGGCAGAGGGTCCCCCCAAGCGTGTGTCCCTGGTAGGTGCTGATGACTTGCGGAAGATGCAGGAAGAGGAAGGTAGGAGCCCAGATGTGAGGGGCCTGGGTGGGATGATGACCTGGCCTCGTCTGATAGTCTGTCCTGCCCGCCCACAGCCCGCAAGCTGCAGCAGAAGAGGGCACAGATGCTTCGGGAAGAGGCAGTGACCTCAGGGCCTGACCTGGAGCTCACCTCGGACAGGGAGTCCCCAGATGATCAACAGGAGGCTGAGCAGCCCTGGGCTATGCCAGGCCACGCAGGAGGGTGAGTGCGTGCGGGAGGCTGAGCCCCACTCCCTGGCTGGTCTGCTGCATGCCCTTTCTCACAGTGTTTCCTGTCTTTCTCCAGCTCCAGCCCTTCTTCACCCCCACCCCTGGGAGGCAGTGCCCCTGTGAGGACAGCCAAAGCAGAACGACGCCATCAGGAGCGGTTGCGCATGCAGAGCCCTGAGCTTCCTGCCCCAGAGCGAGCCCTGTCTCCTGCAGAACGCCGGGCTCTAGAGGCAGAGAAGCGGGCACTGTGGCGGGCAGCCAGGTGAGCACCTCCCTACCCCCACCAGACCCTGCCCATGGCACATGAGGCCCACTCGGCAGACCCTGCCACGGCACATGAGGCCCACTCTCTCTGCCTCCTCAGAATGAAGTCTTTAGAGCAGGACGCCCTCCGTGCACAGATGGTCCTCAGCAAGTCCCAGGACGGCCGTGGCAAGCGAGGACCCCTGGAGCGGCTGGCCGAGTCCCCTTCACCTGCACCCACGCCATCTCCCACACCACTAGAAGGTGTGTGTTCTCACGGGCCAGGAAAGGGCTCTGTCTGCTGTGAGCCTCTTCCAACACTTTCTTCTTGTTCCCAGACTTGAGCCTCCAGACCAGTCCCTCCCCTGGACGCTTGGTAAGGATCCTACATCTAGGCCCTTCCTCCCACACATCCTCTGTCTGAAGCTGCAGTCCCCGCCCTCACCTCGCTGTGCTCTCTGCCTCTCCCTCATGCTGTCCTTTCAAGCCCCTGTCTGGGAAGAAGTTTGACTACAGGGCCTTCGCAGCCCTGCCTTCTTCCAGACCTGTCTATGACATCCAGGTACTGGAGGCCACCTGGCCCGTCTGCATGCTCCTACCCCTCCTCTGCCTGTCACCTGCCCTCCCCCATTCCTTTCTGTGTTTCCTGCTGTTTCCTGTGGGGCCTCTCGGCCCAGTCTGCTCCGACCCTGCCTCAGGCTCTGTGGGCCTAGCCCCTGACAACTAAGCTTGCAAGTTCAGGCAGGTGGAGCCTGCCTGACCAGCCTGTCTCCCCACCAGTCACCAGATTTTGTGGAAGAGCTTAGGACTTTGGAACCTTCTCCCAGTCCTGGTGAGTTGACACCTGTCTGGGGTGAGTGCCCAGACACCCAGAGTTCTGGCTGCCCCTGGCTCCTGGCTTTTGTAACCCTCTCTTTACCAGGCCCGCAGGAAGAAGACGGTGAGGTGGCCCTGGTGCTTCTTGGCAGGCCCTCACCTGGCACTGTGGGCCCTGAAGACGTGACGCTGTGCAGTAGCCGCCGGGCCCTGCGGCCGGGACGCCGGGGTCTGGGCCCTGTGCCCTCCTAGGGCCCGGTTCCTCCCCAAGACTTAGGGGGGAGCCTGCCGGCTTCATCGCCTCCCTTACCCCAAGTCTTTTAGCCTTGGTGTTAGCATTTTAAGAGACCCCTCAGGAGTTACGGCTTCTGACTAACTGCCCCCGTAGCCGGGCTCTCGTGGCGAGACTGTAACTAGTGATGTTTGTACAACCAAAGACTCTATTTTGTGGTTTAAGGAGAATAAAGTTAACTACATTTTACCCCCTGTTCTTCATTTATCCTCCTACCTGCTGGTACCGACTCTGCTCTGTAGGATGTCAATGCCCAATCAAGTCTGCCTTCCCACGCCCTTCTCCCTAACCCTGGCACCTGCTCCCCTGTGGGATTTGGAAGCCACTGTCCTCCAGCTTGGGCCCAGACGGGCTGGGGGTGTGGACTTGCTCACATGAACGCCTGGGGCACATGCTTTATTGGGGTGTGGCTAGACTCCACTGGACAGCTGCACACGCACTGGGAGCAGGAGCTGCAGCTGCTCAGCTGGCGGCCACTGCACGCGGGTGACAAAGACGATGCGGAAGTGCTGTAAGCGCGCCTCCTGGAACTGCGAGGGGTCGTACTCGGCCCCATCCGTGGGCCTGATCAGTGACAGGTAACCTTCCTGGGCCAGCAGCCCACGGCTCAGCAGTGCCTGGGCCAGGCCAGGCTGTACCGCCTCCAGCTGCTGCTGTACGGCTGAGAACAGGTCCACTTCACGCAGGTCGAACACCAGTGGCTTCCCATACCTGTGGGGGTGTCTGGTGAAGAGGCAGGGGAGGCCCAGGGTGGGGGTGTTGCGGACCCTGCCTGCCATACCTGAGTGCGCCCAGCAGAGCCAGCCGAATTGTCTCAGGTCTCAAATGCTCTGGGTTTACGGTGTCCACATAGTTGGTGTCCTGGTATCTCAGGAAAGTGGCTGCCTGACCAGAAGGGTCGATGACAAGAGGCCACCTGAAGGCAGCCGCCTGGTCACTTCTGTCTGTGGGCACCTCTGACTTGTACCCACACCCAGCCTGGATACTGACCGTCCATCAGCTCGGATTCGGTCACCGACGTCCTTCATCAGCACGTCGTGAAGCTCTGTGACCTTGCACTTCAGCCCAGGGGCTGCCATCTCTTCTTCTGAGGAGGGGTTAGTTTGCGGAGCATGGGAAATGTAAATCCCACCGCAAACCCCATCCCTGGCGTCACCTCTCCAGGTCCCCCGGCTGCCCCACCACACCCTGCCACCCTCCTGGGCTGCTCCCCACCCTCCTGGGCTGCTCCCTCCCTCCTGGGCTGCTCCCACCCTCCTGGGCTGCTCCCACCCTCCTGGGTCTGCTCCCGCAGTTCCAGCCTGGCCATCGCCAGGGTCTCTTCAGCCTTTTGCGCCTCCTGCCGCAACCTGTCCACTTGGGCTTCTGCGTCCTTGATGGCCTAAAGAAGGGGCCATGGTGACCGTTGCTCTCCCCATCCCTTCAGAGTTCCCCATGCCCTCAAGGAGGCCACTGTTACTAAGTGACACCTTGGGTTTGAAAGGCAAAGATGCCTGAAATCCCCTTGGAAGGAGACCCCCAGACTGAGGCTTGGGGAGATCTAGAAAAGGCAGTGTCGGGAGCCCACCTGCAGCGTGAGCTCAGTCTTGCCCATGCGCTTCCTCTCACACTTGTCGTGCTCCATGATCCTCCGATTGAGCTCGCAATAGGCCTGCTGCAGCTGTGGGCAGACAAGGTTTGCAGACCCCAGCAACTCACCCCCACCCAACCTTGCCGCGAGTCTCCTTCCTGGAGGGAGGTCTAGGTCACCTCCTTGTGACACCTCTGTTGCTCCTTAGCCAGCTGCTCCACCTTGAGGTTGAGGCTGCAGTGGGAAGAAGCCGGCTGGTCAGGGTCATCCGCGGCCTTGTCATTCCCCCACCCCCAGCCCTCCCAGACCCTTGGCGCACCGCTTAGCCTCCGTCTCCTTGTGCTTCTGGACCTCCTGGGCCCTGCGCTGCTGCTCAGCCTCCATGTTCTGGAGCATAGCCTCTGTGAGGCTCAGGTCCCACGACTGCAGCACGCTGGCCACTGCAGCCAGTGAGGCCACCTAATGACAGGGCATTTGGTGCTTAGAGCCATGTGTGTTCTGCCAACCTAGGAAGGAGGCTTCCGTTTCAGAGGATTGGGAAAGGCTAGGGGGCCATGGCTGGGGACGGGCACATCACAAGCCACTCAGCCCATGGGCTCCCTGTCCAGATCCAAGCAGACCCAGCTCTCATGGTAGAGCCTCCAGGGTCACTGTTCCCCCCCCTCCATCTTTCCGCCAACCAAGCTCCTCGCTTCTGTCTACCACTCATGCAAAGCCGCCACGGCCTCCTGGCTACCCACACGACAGGCACAGATGCAGTTGTGTGGAACTGTTCTCATCTGCTGCCCACCTGTCCTTAAGGACCACAAAGACCCACCCAGGTGTGATGATGCACCCCTGAGACCCTAGCAAAGCTGAGGCGAGGAGAGATGGAGAAGGGTCTAGAGAGGAGCGGGAGACTAAGCGGGGCATGCTGACCCACTTGAAGCACATCTCTGTCCCATCCCTTCGTGCTGGCGGGCAGCCCCCGACTGTTGGCCCCGGCTCATTTGCTCCATATTAGCTCAAAGCCCAAGAGAGACGACACATAATCTTTCAGCTTCAGCTGCTTTTCACGCAGGCCACGGTTAGTTTTAGAAATTCAGAGACTGCCTGCCTTTCACATTGTACAAATCAGCACCCAGTTGCTACAAGCCTCAGCCAAGATAGCACCAAGGGCTGCCTGGGCTCCTCACTGCCATCACGGCCCTCCACAGCTGAGCTCCCTTGGCCATGAGTGGCTTCAGATGGCACTGGCCCTCCACCTGCAGATGGCATGCATACCACTGACACCTTTTGTCCAGAATCCTCCTTGATCAGCTCCGTCCTTGGACATCACAGCACCCATACCTTCGCCTCTAAATCCCTCCTCCACTTCACGTCTGTCCGCCCTAGTGACACAGCCCCTTAGCCTGCTCCACTCCCCACATCTCCTCACGGTATTTATGCTATGGAGCGACTGACCACCGGGCACCTAGAACGTTGTCAGTTAGTCCAATGGCTGGGTGAAGCACTGAACGATCTGTTGGTGTGCATCTGAGTGTACTGATGTGAATGGAGAGACAGGGATAGCAAATGTGGCCACATGGGAAGAGCCGCTGAGAAGTGAATGGACAGAGTTGAGAGGATGACTGAAGGAACTTACGAATGAACGTATGACTTCTGGAGATCACATCATTTATCCCTTCCCTTTCTCTCCTCCAACCCCTCCCATTCGCCCCCTCCTTACTTTCTTCGTGACTTTTCTTTCTTTGACTGTAATGTATGTACCCATATCTACCTAAGTACAGCCTGCTCAGTCTGCATGTTACTCAGAAGGATGTTCCAGGGCTGACCATTTGGTGCTGGCTAGCCAGTTGGTGTGCTCTTCCCTGGGGAAGACTATTTCTCCCCTCTCAGCATCCCTCAGCTGCCTGGAGTCCTTCGTGTAGGACTGAGGCCTCGTGAGCTTTTCCTGGTCCCCACTGGCATGTCTATTGTCCTTGTTCAGCTCACATTTGGCCCGTCATTTTGTTGAGATTGGATGGGTGTATCTTCTGACATTCCCAGGAGACACAATCTCAGAGCAAACTCCCTGATCCTGTGACTTTCACAATCTTTCTGTCCCCTATCCTAAAATGCTGTTCCCTGAGTCTTGGGTGACTTTGTAATTTAATTTAATTTTATGTGTACGGGTGTTTTGCCTGCTTGCATATCTGAACACCATTTGTGTGCCTGGTATGCGCAGAGGGACTCAAATTTCCTGGAACCGAAGACGGACAACTGATGGGTGTTGAGAACTGAACCCAGGTCCTCTGGAAGAGCAGCCAGTGATCTTAACTGCTGGGCCAACTCTCCAGCCTCAATATATGACCTTTTTTTGAGATAGGGTCTTATATAGCCATGGATAACCATGAGTTTCTCATCTCCTGCCTCCCATCTCCTGAGTGCTGGGACTACAGGCACGTGCCATGCTTGGTATATCTGGAACTGGGGATGAAACCCAGGACATCATGCATGCCAGGCCCTCCCCCATCCTGTAACATGTCATTTTAAGTGATCACTTTTGTTTTGTTTTGCTTTGTGACAAGATCTTGCCATGCAGCCCTGGCTGTACCCTGTGTAGACCAGGCTGGCCTCGAACCCACAGAGATCACCTGCTTCTGCCTCCCAGTGCTGGGATTAAAGGCGTGCGCCACCACGCCCAGCTTAAGTGCTTGCTTTGGATGGAAGTTCTAAGGATTGCATCCACAGAACGAGTGACCCAGAACTGGGCTCTCCCCGGGACATCAGCTGAACTTCAAAGCACTGAAGCTGACAGGACCCTGGGCCCTGGCACACAGCAAAGCAGAGCTGAACCCTCGGTGAAATACGGTGCACTGATTTAGTTATTTAGTTAGTTAGTTATAGACAGGGTTTCCCCGTGTAGCTTTGGAGCCTGTCCTAGAACTCACTCTGTAGACCAGGCTGGTCTTGAACTCACAGAGATTCACCTGCCTCTGCCTCCCAGTGCTGGGATCAAAGGCAGGTGCCACCGCCACCCTGTTAAATATGATATGATTTAAAAACAAACAAAATACTTTTTTAAAAAAAGCAGAGCCAGGTGGTGGTGGCCACAACGGCAGCACACGCCTTTAATCCCAGCACTCGGGAGGCAGAGGCAGGCGGATCTCTGTGAGTTCAAGGCCAGCCTGGTCTACAAGAGCTAGTTCCAGGACAGCCAGATGACAAAAACATGCACAGGGCCCTGGAAACTAGCCATCAGCTCAGGGTAGAGCACCCACCTAGCATGAATGAAGCCCTAGGTATTTCAAAAACCACATGTTCAAGGTGATGAAGACTGGATTAAGAATTTGGTAAGGAGCTGAAAGATTTTATCTATATGATGTAACAAATGAAGTTTCTAGAAGTTAAAATAATCAAAATTAACAACAAAGTTTAAATACTTAACTACTGGGTGCATACAGCTGGAGAAAAAACTAGTAAAATAGAAGGCATGTCAGGAGAATGAAACTGGTAATTATTAGTGCTGGCCACTGCTCATGTCCCTCTCACTTTCTAGGCAGGTCAGAGAATACTCCTGACAACTCAAGGTCAGGAGGGGCCAGATCTGTTCAATAAGCAGCAGGTGGTGTGCACTAAATAATTTGGATGCCTTTCCTCTGGGACAAAGACAATTCAAGACGGTGGCTCCTCTGTCCATCAGGCTCCCCAAAAGACGACAATGAACAGAAGCTCCTGTGAACCCTGCAGGGGACCCTGAACACAAACTCATTCTGCTTCAAGCTACTGAGCAGCACCAACTGTGGACCAAGTGTTAAATTCATGAACTTATGGGACAATCAATTCTCATTCCAACCACACCCGGTGTAATAGTTATTATTTTAATTTGCATTTCCCTGTTAATATTGGTGAGAAAACTGTCTTAGGCCTATTGGTCATTTTGACTCTTTTGTTTTTTATCTAGAGCCTTGCTTTGAAACTCTGGCTGGCCTGATACTTGCTATGTGTCCCAGGCTGATCTCAAATTCATGGCAATTCTCCTGCCTCAGCCTCCTGAGTGCTGGGATTACAGGCATGTGCCATCATGCCTGACCTAGATTTTTTAAAGTATATTTGTATTGCATTTGTTTATGTTAATGTGTGTGTGTGTCTGTGTGTCTGTCTGTCTGTGTATGTCTGTGTGTGTGTGTGTCTGTGTGTGTGTCTGTCTGTCTCTGTATGTGTGTCTGTGTGTGTATGTCTGTGTGTGTGTCTGTGTGTGTGTGTCTGTGTATGTCTGTGTGTGTCTGTGTCTGTGTGTGTCTGTGTGTGTCTGTGTGTGTGTGTCTGTGTATGTCTGTGTGTGTCTGTGTGTGTCTGTCTGTCTGTGTGTGATCAGAAGATAACTTGTGAGAAGTTGGTTCTCTCCTTCCACCATGTGGATCTCAGGGATCGAACTCATGGTGTCAGACTTGGTGATGGTCAGCACGGAGCCAACTCATCAGCCCGGAAGACATCTTTTTAAAGAGGTCTTTTCAAGTGAGTGTCTACTTTTCTTGAGTTGTCTGATTTATTTCCCACCCGGAGGTGTAGATATTTGTAGCCATCTCTCAAATATCTTTCCGTTAACTCTCGATGTTACCAGTAACTGAAGTTGGACTTCCTCACAGGACGCCTGCAAGTTTTTTCTCCCTTTTAGATAGCGCTCCAGGGATCACTTTAAAGGTATTCATAGTCAGACATAAAGATCTTTCCCTCACATTACTTGTTTATTTATTGGTTTTCTTTTGAGACAAGGTTTCTCTGGGTAGGCCTGGCTGTCCTGGAGCTCACCATATAGACCAGGCTGGCCTCACACTCACAGAGATTGCTCTGCCTCTGCCTCTTGAGTGCTGGGTCAAAGGTGTGGCCACCATGGCAACCCTGGAATTTCCCTTTAGATTCACAGTCCACTGAATTTGGTTTTATGTGTCGTTTCTGTTTTGTCATTCATCAAGTTGTATAAGCATGTTTTTCTTCTTCCATGATTTGAGAGCTTCTGAGGCCAGGCATGCATGCCAGGGTCGAGGTCCTGCAAGGGAGCTTTGAGAGGCCAATGAATGGAGCCGTGATGGTGAAGCCTGGGTTGCAGTGAGACTGGAAGATGTGGGGGAAGACAAAGCCATGAGCCTTCTGCCAAGGAGAACTGCATGTGTGAATAGAACCAGCCCGACAGACAGAGATGTGTGTTGCAGTCAGCAAAGGTGGTGGGGTCTTCCAAGCCTCTGACATGAAAGTTCCAGAAAGAAGACAGAGCCACAGGGTTTGTGTCTGCCCCGCTGGCTCTCAGTTTTGCTTTGGTCCGGTATTTCCTCACTGTGCTCCCTCTCCTCCATTTTGAAATGGCAACACATAGTCTTTGCCATTGTGTCATGGAAGCATGTCATTTTTTTTTTTTTTACAGTGGGTCATGTTTAGAATTTGCCTTGAGTCTCACAAGAGATTTTGAACTACTTTCGTTTTTAAACAAGAGGTTTATTTAACAACAAGATGCTTGGGTTGAAGCGAAAACTATTCAGGAACATGTTGTTCAAGAATAATTTATGCCTACTCAAAGACAAATTACCCTACATGTAGTGACTACATACAGAAAGGTTACAGAGTGTCCTTGGTTTTATGATGATAAATAAAAGACATTAAAGTTCTCCAACTGAAGAAGGCACACAAGGAATTTTATGTTGTTGTTATTTTGTTAAAACAATGAGAGCAAAATAACTTACTGAACTGTAAAGATAAGAGCTGAATGAGCATGCCACTAATGGAGAAGGGGATATTTTCACAGAACCACTATCTTCCAGCCTGTCTCCATCCGAGGGCAACCAAAAGAGAACATTTGCTGTTTAGTTTAAGAAAAAAGTTCAGTGTGTTTGTGCATATACACCAGGTACTTTGTGTTCAAGAAAGGAATAGGGACAGGGAAAGGAAAAAATAGAGAAAATACAGTATAGTTGTCAGGGTGTGTGGGAACCAAATTGCAGCTTTCTAATTGAGTGAGAATGTTTCTTGGTTTATAGCAGAATTCTGGAATAAAAGAAGCAGCAGTACCCGGAGCACGTCCATCCGACCTTCATCCTCCATTTTTCTGATTGTTTGCCCATCCAACTGGACGCTGACCTGCCTTATGGCGAACTCGTTCACAGGGGGCTTTCATTAGTTCAGCGAGCCATGTCTGCCTCTTCATCCAAAACTCCACCATGCAGCCATCCTGCCCACCACCTTCAAAGTAATGTGCTTGTAGTCTTGACTCCTTCATTGGGTTTCCTGTCGGCCATGGTAAGCATGGGAGTCTCCCCAGCCATCACTTCACAAAAGATGCACCAGGAGACTTTGGACTTTTGAACAACGCTGGGACTGTGAAAGACTACAGGTAGTTTTGAAGTTGGAATAAATGCATTTTGCATTGTGAGATGTGCATGAGCCTCTGGGGCCAGGGTGTAATGTAATGTTGCAGGAAAGTTGTCCTCTACAGGTTCATGTACTTGAACTTGCTCCTTAGTTGGTGGCACTGCTTGGGGAGGTTATGGTGCCGCTAAGGAGTTTGAGCCTTGCTAGAAGGACATCATTGGGGGTGGGCTTTGAGGGTTTATAGTCTCGTCCCACTTCCTAGTCTTTCTCCTGCCTATGTGTGTGTGTGAAAATGTGATCAGCCAGCTTCCTGCTCCTCCTGCCATAACATGCTTTTCCCTTGTGGACTCTATCCCCTTAGAACCATAAGCCAAATGAATTCTTTCTTCTCTAAGTTGCTTTTGGTGAGGTGAATGTTGAGCAGCGGGCCAGCAAGGCCACTGGGAGTGAATGGGCTGCCATCCACGAAGCAGTGGCTGTGTACAGGAGACACGGCTAGGGCACACACAGCACGCTGCAGCCATATCTGGAACCCGAGTCTCAGCACAATGCATGGCACAGTTGAGAATTCATGTACTGAAGCTCTCCACACCAGTGAAAGGACATAAACTACAGCTCTGTGCAAAAGACTGGAACTCACAGACAGTTTGTGACAAGAGATGCCAGAAGAACAATGCCACATAAACTCATGTGCATTCGATACAAAACAGTAGGAATACACTACAGTGTCTGGACATTTGGATCTAAAAATGGATAGATGGGCAACTGAATGGGTGAATGAATGAATGAATGGTGATTTAAATATGAAGTAAATGGCAGGACAGGAGAAGCAAGGAAAATATCCCTGTAAAATCCACCATGTCATTCCCTGGGCAGAGAGGGTAGCACTCTGGCAAAACGGCATTCCCTTATATTGCTTCTGCTGGGCATATCTTATGGTGAACCACAGAGCCACACACACAAGTTTGATTCATTCAATGCCCAGCTTATGCTATGTACTTTATAAAATAAGGTCCAAGACGTATATAAATTCAAAAGAGTTGGTAGACAAGTGGATGCATGACAACCGAAGGGCTGAGTGACCAGATGAGTGTTTGCACATGTGGACAGCCATCTGGGTGAGCCACAAAGTTCAGATCTTAAATAAACCATGGGTGCTTATCCAAAGAATCAGTTGAGAAATATGTGCCAAGATTTTGCCAAGGAATTTGGTGGCTATCTCTAGTCCTGCAGAGCTGGGCTGCTACCTCTGGCGTGTGCAAACAGCTCACAGGCTTGTGAGGGTTGGCCTGTGGGTGGAAGAGCTGTAATCACCGGAAACCAAAGGATCACAAGAGGAAGGCGTGGTGAGTCGATGGCTGTCACACCAGCAGATCGAGGTTTTATAAGTTAATGAGGTGGCAGGATAAAGGCTGAGCTCATCGAAAGGAAGGCGTGGCCACCGCACCAGGCAAGCTGCTGCAGTGAACGGATGCCACAGCAAGCCTAAGAACGAGCTGATGGGTTCACTCAATACAAGCTTCTGTACCCACCACGTCAGTGTGCCTCTGGCCTCCCCTCCTCACCAATCCCCTCCTCTTCTTTTCCTTCCTGTAAAAAATCACCAATCTGTCTTTCATGTTTGCCATTTTGCCAGTTTGAGATGGAGTTGTGTACTGAGTACTGTGGGAGGGGCTTTTTCTCACAGTTCCCTGGAGAGTTACTCAAGATGCTACCTCCATCCTCTGTGGCTACGGGTGTGCCAACTTTCACCATGAAAGCATATCTGTATCCAGTCTGGGGCTGTTACCATGCAAGCTTCCGTGGATATCACTATGTGGACATAGCTTCCCTCACTGGGCTAAGTGCCCAAGAACATAACTGCTGAGGCACACAGTGTGTTTTCATCTTCGAAGTCTGCAGAGGGAGCAGAGACCCCAGTTTGTAAAGTCTGCAGCCTCCCGTCCCTTCGCTGCGTCTGTGCTGCTCTGCAGTAGTCACGTCCTCTCAGGGACAGCACGTTGACTTGCTGTTGAGATCCAATGTGCTTCTATGTCCCAGGGCAGTGCCCTTGGTCAGGTATATGATTTGTGACCAGTCTCTCCCCAGAGCTGGCCCTTGCTTCTCGTCAGGGTCCTGTGAAGGGACACTTTCCTTTCCTTCCTTTCTTTTTTCTTCAGGGGAAAGTGAACGCAGTCCCTCTCGACCACTAATTATGTCATCTTGTTTCCCACATTTGGGGAAATCGCAGGGGTCAGCGCATCCTGATAAGCCTCCGCCCTGGGAAACCACCTTCGTGATCATGGTGTCTCCCTGCCAGGTGAATTTGGTGAAGCCCATGTTTCTTTCTTTTGTCTTCTTGGTATGGTATCTAAGAATGCTCCAATGTGCCCTCAGGCCCAAAGATCTTAGTGGGTCACTGTTCATGCTGAAACCTCAGATCTGTTGAGTTGACTTTGGGTCAGGATGAGACTCAGGTCAGAACTCATTGCCTGGCCTGTGGGTGCCAGAGACTCTTGGCTGAGATGAGTGTCCTTTGACACCTTCCTGTCGCCACAGCCCCCCAGGCACTGGCTCTTGGGCACTCTCCCAGAGTCCTGCTGTACTGCAACTTTACCTGTTAGCCCAGGAGGTTAGGTTCAGCCCAGAGAAAGGTCCAGAGGAGGAAAGCTAGGAGTAGCCTGAGACTGGTACCCTTTAAGGGTGCCAAAAGGCCTGACACCCAGCCCATCATTTTTGACAGCAGCTGCAATTTTAGGTGTGAGATGGGGTAACTAGCTTTAAACTCAGGTGACTTACAGGAAATAAAGGTAAAGTCAGGTGTGACCCCAGGATTGTTCCTGGCCAACATGGGCTATGAAGTAGGTGTGTGTGTGTGTGTGTGTGTGTGTGTGTGTGTGTGTGTGTGTGTGTGAACAAACAGAGGCACTTCCTGGCCTGACTTCTCAGAGCTGTCCCACGCTGAGTGAGTCTCACCAGTGACTTCCTGGGCCCACACTTCCCCAGTGGTTAGCATGGGGGCCACAGCTGGGAGACAGTCCCACTGACTGAGCGGAGAGAAACAGGCCAAGAGACTGAGAGCAAACCAGTCAGTACATCCCAAGCTGTGAAACCTGGCCAACCTGTGAGGCCGGAGGACTGTTTGCTAATCTATCACAGCAGCTGCATCCTCCGGTAGCCGGAGTGCTGAAGGAGCGAGAAGGAGACAGAGCACAAAAGGTGTACCCAGGCAAACAACCATTGTTCAGAAATGGTTGGTGGGATGGAACCAGATTCAGAACCTAGGAATCCCTGTATCCTGTCGACATTTGTTTGTTTTCCTTAAGACAGGGCGTCTCTGCCTGGCTTCTAGCCTGGAACTCCTGTCAGTCCATTTGCCCAGTCCTGGGGTTACAGATGCACACCAATACACCAGAAACCTTTCGAGTAGGGATGTGTATGCCAGGGCCACACCTGCTCCGGAGTGCTCCCGTCTTCTGCGTACACCCGGGGGTCTGCTCCGAGCTTCAGAAGCACCTCCACGGCTTCCAGGTGACCCCCAAAGGCTGCCCGGTAGAGCGGTGTGCGGCCGAAGGCGCCCTGCAGAAGGGGCTCCCTGAGCGCGTGCGGGGACCAGACCACGCCGCCGCCGCGCGCACCGCGCCCACCTTGCTGTTGGGGCTGGCGCCCAGCTCTGCCAGCAGCTGGATGGCCAAGGGCTGCCCGCCCGCCGCCGCCTCCGACAGAGGCGTGTTCCCGTGGCTGTCCTCGCACTCCACAGTGGCCACGCGCCTCTGCAGCCGCAGAGCCTTGCCCGCCTCGTCGTGGCCCACGCCTTCGCGCGTCAGCAGCTGATCCACCTGGGCGCAGGGCAGTGTCACCTGGCGCCCGCCCCTTCCCGCCCACCGGCTGCCGCCACAAGCACGGACCTCCTTAAGCACTGCGCGGATCTCGCCCAGGTCCCCTTCGAAGGCGGCCTCGAGCAGGCGGTGGCGGCGCTGCAGCTCCTCCCGCCGTGCGCGCTCTGCGGCCTCCTCCTGCTCGCGCTGCCGCCGTGCTGCCTCCTGCTCTCGGCGCACCAAGGCCAGGTAGGCCTGCAAGACAAGGCCATGGTCACCGTCCCCAGCAGCCCAGAACACTGCCGCAGTGTCCGCTGCTCACGGTCACTGTGCAGGCCAGACGTCATGTCCACCACCTTGAGGTCCACATCTAAAAGCCAAGGTCATTGCTCCCCTAGACACTCTGTCCAGACCTTCCCTCTTCCTCGGGTCCTGGCACCCAGGGTCTTGTGGCTGAACCTCCTCACCTCTCTCTGCAGCTTCTCCATTTCATCCAGGTACTCCTGGCGCTCCTGCCGACGGCGCGCCAGCTCCTTTCGTGCCAGATGTTGCCGGAAGACACACTGGATGACAGTGGCGGCTTTGTCCTCAGCAGTTGGGGCTGGAGTGAGGAGAGTAGAGATTTGGACCCCAGTCCTCCTTGTTAGCCATACAGAGGGTCTGAATGGCTCTCAGAAAGCACAAAGGCCGATGCAGTGACCATGCCTGTCTCCCAATACTCAGGAGGAACCACAGAGTTCAGTAGTTTGAAACCAACCAGGGCTATGTGGTAGACAGTGTGTCAACAGTGATAAAACGTCCCAAAGAGCTGAGTCAGAATAACACTCCCTCAGTAGAACCAGGAAAAGAGTGTGGTCCAGACTGGAGCAGGAAGTCCACAGGGTCTGAAAATCGCTAGAAATCTGCGGCCAGAAAGATGCCGTCTGAGAGAAGCTGAAGGAAGCCCCAGAGAAAAGGACAGAAAAGCTGCCACTGGGCCTCAGGGCACACACACCCGAGCCAGAGGCCCAAAACATCCTCGAAGACTGGGAGTTGCAGCTAAGCCATAAACTGCCTGGAAAGGGGAGAGGTCTCAAGTGGTCTCAGCCCAGGATACTCAGAAGAGGGTGTGAGTCTAGAACGTGCCACAGTGACACACATTCAGGCTGTTTTGTAGCGGTCTACATGCTGGCCTTGCACAGTGGCTTCCAGGAGCTGGGGGTGGGGAGGACACCACCACTGTGAGTAAACTCAGGGCGACTACTACACCCCTTCCTGTGTGCATGTGGGGGGGGCACAGTGAGATCAGCAGCGAGGAGAATACAATCAAAAGCGAGGTATCCAGATATTGCACAAAAGGTAGATGAAAATCTTATCTAACAGGGACTCCAAGACAGGCTGGGCAGACCGCCAGGATAAGTGAAAGATACGTCAGTTTGTAGACAGAACCAATCAGAAGACAAGATTCAGGAGCAGGAAGACTATGCAGTGTGCTGTGGCTCCGTGGGGGGGGGTTCCAAGTGACCCAGTCGAGGAACAGCACAGAGCAGAAACCAGGCAGAAGAGAAACAGCGCAGCTCAGACAACAAAGCCCACGGCACAGGCCGGCGTGGAAGGAGGGGCCGTGCCGAAGTGAAACAGTGTAATAGAGGAAGCTAGTGGCCTCCAATAGAATATAAGTAAAATGTTTAGAAAAAGATAAAAGAAAATGGCTAATGAGGGTATAACTGGAATAACACATAGGTCATCAACTTTGGAATACAGTTTTTTGAGACAGAGTTTCTCTGTGAAACATCCCTGGTTATCCTGGGAACTCAGTTTGTAGACCAGGCTGTCCTTGAACTCACAGAGCTCCACCAGCCTCTGGCCCTTGAGTGCTGGGATTGAAGGCATTTAGTTTGGTTGGAAGAGAGTTTTGGGTTTGGGTTTTTTTTGGGGGGGGTTCATTTTTTCAAGACAGGGTTTCTCTGTGGCTTTGGAGGTTGTCCTAGAACTAGCTCTTGTAGCCCAGGCTAGTCTCCAAATCACAGAGCACAGAGATCCGCCTGCCTCTGCCTCCCGAATGCTGGGATTAAAGGCATGTGCCACCAGTGCCCGGCGGAAGAGAGTTTTGAAAGCTAACAAAAGACATCAAGTTACAGCTCTAAAATGCATTTTGAATCTCAATAATGGTAAATACAAAAGTAAGCCAGCACCCAAAACCACAGATCTGGAGAAAAATGCCAAAACTGGGGGGGGGGGGGTATAGTCAAAGAATCAGTAAATGTATTAAAAAAGCAAAGCAAACAGCAGCAGAACATATACCAATACTGTATACAAAAGACAGGCTTCAGACAGAAGGAAGGCATAACAGATTAGACTCATAGCTTCATGAAAGAATGAAATAAATAAAAGACAAATGTTTGAATAAACATGCATAAGACAGTAATGCAACTATCAGATTACATGAAAATCAAAACACACACACACACACACACACAGCATTTGACCCATCTCATGGCTCTTAGGTTCTCTCTGCCCTCTCCTCTATGATGTGCCCTGAGCCTTGCAGAGGCTGACAGAGGCTGACAGAGGCATTTATGGCTTGAGCGCTGGGTAGCCACTTTCTCTGCACATTGACTAGTTATGAGTCTCTGCAGTTACTGCTGCCCACTACAAAACAACGACAAAAACTTTTCTTTCAGCCGGGCGGTGGTGGTGCACGCCTTTGATCCCAGCACTCAGGAGGCAGAAGCAGGTAGATCTCTGTGAGTTTGAGACCAGTCTGGTCTACAAAGTTCCAGGACAGCCTCCAAAGCCACACAGGGAAACCCTGTCTGGAAAAAAAAAAAGCACCTTTCTTTTCTTTTTGTTTTTTTAACAAATCCTTTCTAACTGTGGCAGTTTAAATAGGAATGGGCCCAATAGGCTCCTATATTTGGATGCTTAGTCACCAAAGTGGAACTGTTAGATGCATTAGAAGGACCAGGAGGTGTGGCCTTTCTGAGCAGGTGTGGCCCTGTTGGAGGGAATATGTGGCTGGGGGTGAGCTTTGAGGTTTTAAAAGCCCAGGCCAGGCCCAGCGTCTCTGTCAGCCTGCAGTCAGGATGTACTCTGTTTCCAGTGCCATGTCTGCCTGCTTGTTGCTATGATTCCCACCATGGTGATGATAATGAACTAACCCTCCGAAACTGTAAGCCAGCCCTCAATGAATATGAATATGTATCTCCATCCTTGGTCATGGTATCTCCTTCACAGCAACACAGCTATGACTAAGATAATAACTGAAGCTGACAGCAGCACTCATCTATGCGTAAACACAATTACTTAGTCACATCACACCTATTTACCAAAACAACAGCAGTATCTTCCCCACTAGGGTCCATGACCTCACCAGCCGTGGTGTTTGGCCAGGTTTACAACACCCGATGTGAGCTCCTTCCTGTGGAGCAGGCCTCAAATCCAGCCAGAAAGCAGTTGGTTGCCCCACGACAGACTTGCCGCTGTTGCACCAATGGGCACCCCTTGCCTGGACAGTCGGCCGTGCCATAGTCAGTGCCCACAGCCGTGTTAGCCTATTGCTGGCAATCCTCCCCAGCAGCCTGCACAGCACCTCCCGGCACTAAGAGGGCAAGCTGGTATCTTCAGCAACAGGTTTTTAATTTTATTAACCTGTTTGTATGTGGGTGCATGCATACCACAGCCCACACAGTTAGAGGACAACGTGTAGAAGTTAATTCTCTCCTTCTACTGTTTGGCTTCTCAGGATCAAACTCAGATTGTCAGCCAAGTCCTTTTATCACTGGCCACATAAGAGGTTTTTTTTTTTTTTTTTTTTTTTTTGAGCGGGGAGGCAGGGTTTCTCTGTGTAGCACTGACTGTTCTGGAACTCACCCTGTAGACCAGGCTGGCCTTGAACTCACAGAGATCCACCTGCCTCTGCCTCCTGAGTGCTGAGATTAAAGGCGTGCACCACCACTACGTGGTGGCTATATGTATATATTTTAATTTAAAGTTTGTTTCATCTGCTAATAACATAGGCCTTCATATTTTCTTATATTAAACATTTCTCTGTGTGTGTGTGTGTGTGTGTGTGTGTGTGTGTGTGTGTGTGTGTGTATGTGTGCATACATGCAGGCAAGTACGTTTTCCACAGTGCATGTGTGGAGGTCAGAGAACAACTTGAGGGAGTCGGTTCTCTCATTACACTATTTGAGTACTTTTGGACACTGGAACTGACCTCAGGTCCTCACACTTGGTGGCTCCCTTACCCACTGAGCTGTCTCACTGGAGGTTCCACCACCACTTACTTTTGGTAGCTGTTGTTGAAATACTTCTTTGTAGGGAATGGGAGGAGCTCTAAGCAGGTGAGGTTCTGAATGGATGTGTGCTGTTGGCATGAGCATAGCCATGACAAGAACCAAGGACTCAGACCCGTCCGTGTGGGTCATACTAGGGAATGGGAAAGCCTTCTTCCTGTATTCTATGTATGAGTGTGTGTGTGTGTGTGTGCAAAGGCACATTGGTCAGTGTGTGTAAAACTAGCATCCACAGCCTCATCCTCCTGGTCTTTACCATCTGAGACTCGCTAGGCCCTCCTCCCTGAGGCAGACGTAATAAACACAATAAACACACCAAGGTCCCAGTTGCAGTAATAGTAGGTAGAGCTCCATCAGAGCGCAACTACTCATCTGACCCCAGCTCTTCTGCATGCATGTGAAGCTGTTACCGTGACAAGCAAGGTAATTTATAGAAGGAAGAGTTTCTTTTGGCTTGCATTCCAGAGGGATAGGCATGGCAGGGAGGCATGGGCAAGTGGAAGATGTGGCGGCAGGAGCAGGGAGCTCAGAGCTCACATCTTCTACCACGGGCATGAAGCAGAAGAGGGGACCCAGAAGCAGGCGAGGCTGTCTAACCTCAAAGTCTGCTCCCACGGATGTATTTCTTCCAGCGAGGCTGTCTCACCTAATCCTCCCCAAACAGCATCACCAGCTGGGAAACAAGTGTCCAGATAGAATGAGCATTTCACATTCAAATGCCTACTTGACTCCCATTGGCCCATGACCAGACCATAATGCAAAATGTATTTAACCTGACTTTAAAAGTCTCCACCGTCTTTCATAATCTCAGTTTAAAGGTCCAAAATCGGAGCCAAGCACAAGGCTTTAATCCCAGTACTCGGGAGGCAGAGTTAGGCAGATCCCTGTGAGCTCAGAGCCAGCCTGGTGGTCTACACAGTGAGCTCCAGAACAGCCAGGAACACACGGAGAGACAATAACAACATCATCACAAAAAGTCCAAAGTCTCTCCTGAGACTCAAGGCAATTACCTAATTGTAACCCTTGTAAAATCAAAAGGCAAGCCAATATTCCCAACATACAATGGCATAGAGGCCAGAGAGACAGGGAGATGGAGAGAGGAGCCAAGAGAGCTGAAATGGCTATGTAGGAATGAGAAGGGGGGACAAGGAAGTGTGAGCGGAGTTTTGGGTGGGGAGTGAAGTGAGAGGAACCAAGAGGCCTGCATGGACTCTGAGATGCTGGAGGGCAGGGAGCCAGCACCTGCTTTGGTGTGCTAATAGACACTGCAGTTAGCCTGTTTTGGACTTGACATTGCAGCCTCTTTGTTGATGATAAAGGGTGA